GAGAGTTCCTTCGCTCTATGTTGCTTGGCACATATTTTTCTATGCATACTTTCTCTGATTTCTGTTTCGTTAGGATTTGGATAAAAGGGCTTCTTTGCTATTCACTATGTATGTTCATTGTGGAACTGGTATTTGGTGGAAAAGGGGTCAAATCTTGGATATAGCTATAGCTTGGGGTCCCCTTACCCAGCAGAAATAACAAAGTAATCAAAAATTACACAGAAATTGATCATATTCCCCTAGACTAACAATAGCTAAGGGGAGCAGATAAACATACTTCTAGACTGGCACTTCCTCTATCTGAGGAGAGAAGAGTAGTGTCTCAAGCCCCAATTCCTGCTTTCCCTCCTGATAGGAATGAAAGTCTCCCTTGGAGAAGGGTGGGTAGAGAAGAGGCTAGAGATATCTGTTCTGTCTCCCTCATTGCCACAAGTGGGCCTCCCTATTCACGTGGTACTCCACTCCTACTCCTATCAAGGACATCCCTCCTTGCATGCATGTGGGCCCACATACCACACTACATTTGCTACATTTGAGTGCTTTGTGAGTAGGAATATAATTTTTGGTCACATATTTTGCAAGATCTTATGGTTTGGGGGTGGTAGTGTTAAATTTTTTTTTTCTTCCTAAAAACTGGAACAATTTACTTTCTGTCCTGCTCTTCTTCAGTATACTTGCTCAGGACCATCTCTGTTGTGTTGTATTTGTATTTATTTTGCTGAACATCTCCCAATTTTAATCTCCCAAATTTAAACTTCACTCGGGAGTTTTATGGCAGGATCAAAAGGTGTGCCATGCTATATCCCAAAGAGATCATACAAATAGGAAAAGGACCCACATGTGCAAAAATATAGCAGCTCTTTTTGTGGTGGCAAAGAATTGGAAATTGAGAGGATGCCCATTAATTGGGGAATGGCTGAACAAGTTGTGGTATATGAATGTAATGGAATACTATGGTGCTATAAGAAATGATGAGCAAGTGAACTTCAGAAAAACCTGGAAAGACTGGTATGGTCTGATGCTGAATGAAGTGAATAGAACCAAGAGAACATTGCACACAGTAACAGTCACGTTGTGTGATGACTGATATTGATAGACTTAACCCTTCTCATAATACAAGGATCTAAGACATCTCCAAAGGCCTCATGATGGAAAATGCCATCCACATCCAAAGAAATAACTATGGAATTTGAAATGCAGATCGAAGCATGATACTTGCTATTTTTTCTTCTTCTTTTGTGTTTTGTTTCCTCTTTCTGGTGGTTCCTCCTGTTGGTTCTAATTCTTACTTACAGCATCACTAACATGAAAATATGTTTAATAGGAATGGGTATGTATAGCCTATATCAGATTTCACACAATCTTGGGGAGGGAGGAGGAGAAAACTTTAAAACTCAAAAGCTTATGGAAGTGATTGTTGATAAATCAAAATAAATTAATTTTTAAAAAAAGGTATGCCATGTAGTCATATGCAGTCATGTCACTCTCTATATTTGCAGATCTTTCCCCAGTTCAACCATGAAGAGAGCCAGGAGGCCCTCTCCTCTCGTCCAAATTACTAGCTATATCAAATGTTAGGGGCATGTCTGACGCCAGCATCTTATTAGTTCAGATTTGATTTGGGGATAAAATGAGAGCCTCATAAGTCATTGAACAGTTAACAAAAGGAGATTTACTTTGACCTAACATAACAAGGATATTCAATAAGGATACAGTTGTAGCAGATTTTACACACACACACACACACACACACACACACACACACACACACACACACACACACACCCTCATATCGACATGGAAATTAGTCTAGTCAGCAAGGTAGAGTATGGTGATTTGAGTGGTCTTCAGACATCCACCAAATAAAAGGTGCCCTGATTCCATATGAGTGGGTCTTTTTATACATTTAGTTGATCAAAAACTGTGACAAGAGAATCAGGGGCAAATCTGTCTTGGGGATAGTTTTTCCCCCCTTTTAGGGAAAACTAGTTGCTGTTGTGAGGAGACTAGGAGCCCTGGTAGATATTACAGTTGTAGTAGGATTTCTTTTTTTTGGAGGGGTATGGTCTAACTTTAAAGTTACATGATTCTGTGATTGATCGCTTCCAATTCCAATCCATCTTTTCATAGCAATCCAAAATGATCTTCCTAAAGCCCAAGCCTAATCATGGTCACTACCTTGCTCAAAAAATAAAATTTGCTCCCTTTTGCCTATATAATAAAGTATGAAATCTCAGCATGACATTAAAAAAACCCCCACAATCTGCCTTAAAACTACCTTTCAAGTTTTATTTCATATTACTCCCCTTCTTTCATACTACACCCCAGCCCAGCTGGACTCTTACAGTTTTCCGAACTTGACATGTTGTCTCTCAACTCTAAGAATTTGTGGAAACTATCCCCCATGCTCATGTATATCTTTTAGAATCATTCCTTCAAGGCTCATCTCAAGTGCCACCTACTCCATGAAGCCTGCCCCTCATTCTCCCTCCCCGCCCCCACCCCCACCTACCCTAAACCCCAGCTGTGAGGGCTGTTCTTAACCCTGCTCAAATTTTGCTGGAGAACTTGGTCTGGATCTCTTGCCATCACTCCTTACACTGTGTTATACTTATTCTCATATGTGTTATATCCTGCCCTCCAGGAGAATACAAGTTCCTTGAGGTCAAGGCTTGTAAAATGATTCATCTTTTTATCCTCAGAGTCTAACATAGGGCACTGTTTGCAGTAGCTACTTACTGTTTGTTTAAATCACATGGAACCAACATTCTCAGCTGGACCTAAGTCCACTCCAGGGCTGCTGGGGAATGGCCCGCTTCTACTTCTCTTCTTCTGCCACATGTTCTTGCCTGGTCTTTAGAGATTCCAGAAGCCTTCAGATTTCCTGATACCCATTTCTAGCCTGGGAATGTTTCTTTACAGGTTCTTAATCAGCTCATTAGCTGTCTAATTCAGTCACAATCTCTAGCTTCCTCCTCTCACTCCATTACCATACTTGGTTCTTTCAGCTGTCTGCCTCCAGTCATTCTCCCTTATTTTCCCATTCCTTTCCTCTCTGCCAATCTAAGTTTCTCCCTTCACTATCCTTCCAAACTCACTTCAAAGTTCCCCTTATACAGAACATCTTGTCTGAATAGTCACACCCCTTACTAACTGTTCCTTTATACTTCCCCTCCTCAGATTTGATGTGCTCTCATCACACTGTTGGGAAGAAACTCTGAAATCCAAAACTTGGGAGATGTAAGTGGGACATTATTCACCTAGTGTGACATCCCTACAAGATTCCTGGACTTGAAGTGTTTGCTTGCATGTCCTTAAACTGGTGGCAGGGGAACAAGAAGAGGTTCAGGGTCAGCAAAGAAAGCTTTAAGAACCTAAAAACTCAAATGTTGGGAACCACCAGCAACGAAAGATTAGTGCCAGCAGAACTGGAAATAAAGAACAATGTTAATATAAGTTGATGGGAAATAGGATTGGATGTACAAAGATTCAGTCTACACATAACTTTTTAGGACTGCAGTAGGCAAAGGTGTGAAGTCAGGTTTCTGTCTATATTCATTTCCACTTGTATAATGTAAGTGAACTGGACAATAGGGATGATTCCTTGGAGCAAGCAGATATTCCTCTCTTGGTACCAGTCCAATTAACCATATGAAAACTGGTTGGGTAGTAGTTCTGACCATGTATGAGTCCTTGCTGAGGGGTTTGCCCTGTGTGATAATGAAAAATCCCCTAATTGGCTACTAATACAGAAGAGCTGATGACTCAGGGGATTGAAATGGGAGATGACAAAGCATAATTCATTGTTAAGACAGAACTCAGTGGATCTACAAAAGAAGCAACTTGAAACCTCACTTCCCCGCTACCTCTCTCTTGCTTTCTATCTGTGGACTATTTCAGCATAGTTCCACATGTCAGGTAAGGGAGGTCATGACTGCCCTATCTCCCACTCAGTCTCCATGTGGCTGTGAGCACACGGTTACCTCTACCTCTCCTATTTGTTCTTTCCTCATCTTGAGTAAACAAATATCCCAAGGTAGACCAAGACTGTCAGAAACCTTGCGAGTTCTGAAAGGTTAGCTCATCTTGGGAGGACTGTGAGGCAATAGCTACAGGGTCTCCAGAGCAGACAAAGTATCTGAATTGATACTGGAGAGATATATTGAGGACAGACAGGGATGTAGAATGACAGTAACCTGAGGAGGCAAGCAGCATTAAGGAGAAGGTTCCTCATGAAAGCTTCCCTTGGTCAGACGGCAGCTACTTTTCTCTGCCTTTTCTCTTCCTTCTAACTATTATATGAAAAGGAAAGGTAGGGGATGACCTATCCATTTCTAAAAGGTGGATGAAAGGACAGGACTCAGCTAAGTTCAGGGTAGTCTTGTGTCCAGCACATGAAAACTAGACATTTTAGGGGGAAATAGGATCCTATGTTTTCAATTTTGAAATAAGAGTTTTAGACAGGAAGAAGGGGGAAGCTGTGAACTCCAATCCAGGGATTGTGGATGGCATAGTCTTCAGATAACATCCTGAGATTCTGGGCTAGGGGTGGGGACAAGATATCACCCCTGGGAAAACAGGCCTGCCAGGGTATAGATAGATGTATAGATAAATAAGATAAATCGATATTTCTTTTTAGGAGTTGGGATAGAGAAACTTGCCTGTATCTGACCTTGCTGCTGTTCATGTAGACAGTATTAGAACAGCATGTCAGGAGGTGAGAGGGGGGAGGGTTGAAGGTGTTGGTGTGTAAGTAGTAAGAGACCAAGCTAATGGGGAAGAGCTGAGGGTGGGTGCCTAACTCAAATTCTGTTGGAGAGAGGATGTGGCTCTAGGCCATATGGAAAAAAGAAGTGAGAAGGACTGGGCCTTTTAGCTCTTGGACTCTGTGGAAATCAGAAAAGAAAGGCAGGCTATGACCTCTGGGCTCTGTTGTAGGCTTGGTATGGAATGAAGGTACAATCTTTCCATATCCATTCCTCTACTTCTAATCTGGTGTGAGGCAGCATGGTCTAATAGGAAGAGAAATGTGATTGGATTGGGAGATCTAGGTTTGAGGCTCATTCTGCTACTAACTGGCTTTATTACCTTAGACAAATCAGCTCCATGTCTTTAGCTACTCAACTTCAGCTTTCCTGATCAGTAAAATAAGGATAATTATCCTTCTACTTCTCCCCCTCATAGGGTTGGTGTGAAGAAAGCACTCTGCAAGCTATAAAATACCACATAAACTTTGAATGGGTAGTAGGCTCTATCACCTTTCGTATCTAGGATTAGGGGAATCCCAGACACCAACTGCAAGCTACCCCTTATTTTTCCATTTTATTATTCTCCACTACCACTCCTCCAGGGAGTAGTATACCCAGTCCTGGCTTGGCTTTTCAAGACAGTCTGGGGGGCATGCATGGGGCAAGCTGTCAACACCCCTACTTGATACGTGCCTCTTCTTTTTCCAGCCGTTGTACATTACGTGGTTTGTGGAGGGCATGGGATTGCAGCTTAGAGGGCTGACTGTAACCCGATGGAGATACTGGGGGGAATATCCATACATGCCTGGTTCTGTACTCTCTTTGCAGCTCTGAGTCTCAGCATTATGTGTTGAGGGGTTAATGGGGTACACACAAGCTTCAAACTCCATCTTGGCTTTTGCTTCCACTCTCTTGGCTGATCTTCCCAGGTACTGTTGGAAACGGAACCCAGAGAATGGCAGACAAGCTGATAACCCTTTCAAGTATGCCTGAGGCCTTGGAGAGTTCCGGTCATATTGACAATTGTCAGGGGAATTGCCAGGGTGCCGATACTGGGAAACATTGTCATCTCCATTGGGAAGCCTAGCATCTGGACATTGGTTACGTTCTGGTGAGAAAACTGAGTGTCGATGGCAGGAGCCTGGTGGGGTCAGATCAAGAGTCACAGAGTCCATAGTGCAGAGGTCACAGACCTCTGGGTTCTGACAGACAGTAGGGTTCCGACAATCAGCAGAGTTCTCAGAGGCAGCAGGGTTCCGACAGACAGAATGGTTCTGACAGACAGGAACTTTCCAACAGACAGTAGGATTTTGACAGTTAGGAGGGTTTCTACAGACAGGAGAGTCCTGATAGACAGGAGGTCTCCATCTCTGCTTCAGTGCTGGAGGCCTGTGGATAAGCAGATTCTTGGGAATGATTGGGGCCAGCTCGAGCATGTTATCTGCAGAATGGAAAGGGGAAGGTGAGCAGAAGCCTGGAAGATGGCATACATCTCCTAGTGAAGTGGGAACCATGTCAGAGCCAAGGGCTAGGTACTGGGTCAATTCAGATCCCTGAGGAGGACTATGAATTCTTGAGAAAGGGCCAGGGTCTGAGGGGAGGAATGCCTGTGTCTTTGACCAGGGAAGAGGGATAAAGAAGTAGACTGGGACCCACTCAAGACCCCGTCACTTACCTTCCTGAAAAAATTTATGGAATATTTGGTTCAGAGAGCCCTGAAAGCGGTACTGGAGCTGAGGGTCAGGGAGAAGGAAAGAGTAAACACCCAGGCATCCTGGTCCTCTCACCACTAAGGACCCTGTAATATGGTCTCCAGCCCACGGCTTTTCCTTCCTCCACCCCTCCCCACCCAAGATTCTGGTCATCCCTCTGACCTATTCCCTGACTCCCTCAGGGACCCCAGTACCCAGGCCCTGACCAGAGTCACCACATTGATTCCAATGTTGATGAAGATGATGAAGCCCAGAAAGAGCAAGATATATTCGCCTAGGTTCTGGCAGTCCTCAGGGCCAGGACCTGAACAGGAATGGGTCCCTTGCTGGAAAGTGTCACCCATGATGGGGGGTCCCAGGGCCACCTGGGGCCCCCCCAACCCCCACCCTACTATGAACTTGTTCTGGAAGCAAGCAGGTATAGGGAAGAGATGAGTCACAATGAGATGAAGGCATCACAATATAAGCAGGCTACCAAGGTATTAATGGCTTCCCCCACCACTAGGTTTCTGCTGTGGCTCCAGCTAGGCTAAATGTTCCCCAGACACGACTCATTCTTGCCTCACCTTTTCCCTCTTTCAAGCCTTCAAGTAGGCCAATCTTAATCTATAGACATGACCCTCACACTTTCAACATCCCCCCCTTTTCAGGAAGCTCCTTTGATTAACTTCACTGAGCTCCAATCTCTCTTTTCCCTTGCTTTCTTAGCCTCTGCATGATGGTTTGCAGTCATTTGGATACAGCTAAAGGCTCTTAGCTGGCTCCCTTCCTTTTGGGTAGGAGGAGGGTTCTATCTCCTGGACTGGATCTTCTCTTGATGAGGACTCTGTCCCCTTCACAGCATTAGGTTTGCACTGACTGATGCCATCCTAACTGTCCTAGCTCCCCTGTCTCCCACCACATAAGTGGCAGAGGAAAATTCTATTGATTGGCAAGAGGGCTACTGTAAACAATTTCTACTTACTCAGGTATGTGTTAGACTAGTTGATCGCTAAGGTCCCTTCCAATTTAGAGATTCTGTGCTTTCTAAGGACAATAATAAGTTGAATTGGGTCCAGAGGAGGATGGTTCAAGGACTATATAAAGATTATTTGAAGGGACTGAGGCAATTTGGCCTGAAGATGTGAAGACTGGAGAAAGCTACTAGCTGTCTTCATGTCTCTCCAGTAACTGAGGAATATTTATTTCTCTTGGCTCTAGAGGGGAGAGCTAGGAGAAAATAGGTGGCAATTGTAGGAAAATTTAGGTTTGTTACAAAGATAACAATTGGGGTTATCAGAAATGGATTAGGTTGCCATAAGAAACGATCAGTTCCCTCTTACTTGGAGGCCTTCAAGGAAGAAGCTGGACAACTAACCTTGTCAGGTACATCATCCAAAGGATGCCGTCCGTAGTCCAGGAGTTAGACTAGATGGCCTCTGAGTTCCCTTCTGACTCTTGACATTCTGTGAAACTGGATTTTCTGACTATTTTTGTGTTTGTTGGAGGTAGGTGGAGGTGAAGGTTGGATACCTACTTCCTTCAATTCCCTCCTCTGCTGTGTATATTTCCCTCAATAGAAAACTCAGTCCCACTCCCCAAACCAATCTCCCTCAGAGACCCATATGTGCACCAGTCCCCCACAGCAGGCATGACTAACAGTTAAACTTTTATATTTACAATAATTCTCTTCATCATCTTTTGCCAGGTTTAAAAATGTGTACAGAGCTGCTATGGCAGGGAGTTTGTGGGCAAGGGGGGCAGGAGAGAGGTGAAGACTTAGGGGAAAATTGGGGGGCAGGTGGTAGAGTCCATGGCTGAATCATGGGATACCCCAGGTCCACACCAGCCCCTTTCTTGTGCCCCAATGCTGGAGGCATATCTACTGGGTTTCAGGGTCAAGGTCCCTAAGATCTGGGTGTATGACTGTCCAGAGAAAATGAGGGATCAAAAGGATTAGGCTGGGGACCAGGAGGTATGTATGGTGAAGGTCTATGAGGAGGGAGGAAAATTCTAGGTCAAACGTTGGGGAGACTGGATGAGAAGTCTAGATTTGGGGTGTCAATGGAAGGGCATAGGCTCCCTGCCCCCAACTTGTTTGGCACCAAATGCCCCCAAGAAATTGGAGCAAATTTTTATTCCTTTTCCTTGTTCCCTCCAAATCCTTAACCACTTTTGGTCATCTCCCTTTTCAATTCTTCCCTACTGGTGACCTTCTTTTTTAGGATTTTTCAGAGAAGAAACCCCATTTCACCTTACCACTTTCAAATTCTTCTTGTTAATGCCTCCCTCAGACACTCCTGGCAACCCTAGAATGGGTTTCCTTATTCCTACCCCAGTATCACCTCCCATGTAAGCCCCACACTGTACTAGACCTCTGTTCCCTGCTGATAAATCTATTCTCAGGTCTATTTCCACCCCCAAACTCCCCACCTAGCCCAACCAAGGGCTCAAGGGATCTGAAGGAGAGGGTGGGAAAGCAAAAAAAGTATTTATCTTAGGCAAGGGGAGAAAGAGATGGAAAAAGAGGAAAAATCAAAACCATAAAAAGAATTGAGGGAGTAAGAGAGAGAGAGAGAAGGGGGTGGGTCAGGAGAGAGGGGAGAGGGGGGAGGGAGAGAGGGAGAGAGGGAGAGAGGGAGAGAGAGAGAGAGAGAGAGAGAGAGAGAGAGAGAGAGAGAGAGAGAGAGAGAGAGAGAGAGAGAGAGATTTTCAGAGAAGAGGAACTGAGGCAGAGAGAGAGATGGGTAAGGGCACAAAGTTAGGACTTCTTAGCTTTGTTTACCCTCCTCATACATCTCACTGGACCCCAGAACCTCCTCCTTCCCCCTTCCCTGGGAAAGAGAGTCCTTGGCACTTGGGGGTAGGGTCTGACACACTTCAAACCCTTAAGTTTGGCACAGATGAATGCTGGTAAGAGGGGTAGGGGGAGGACTGCCCCCTAGACCCTGGTCTGGGACTTTGGTCAAACATGCATCGCCACCTTGGTCCCCACATCCACCCCAGCCCCGTTACTTCAACATCTCTGTGGGTGAGAAGGGGTGTATCTCCTCCCCACCCCCTAGAATTTGTACAAAATAAAGGGCAACTTTATTATGTTGTCTGCAGCTAACTCCCCATGGCTTCTCTTGGCCTTGAATTTCTTCTTATTCAATGTCCAGGGAGGAATTTAGGACTGGAGCCAGTTCACTGGGGTTGGGGGGTGGGGATTAGGGGAGTCCTGGGCAGACAAGATGGAAAAACACACATCCACATGCAGTAACATGTCCACACAGGAAACGTACTTTCCCCATATGACATGTCCATATGGGAAACCGCATGTCTGACGCTCACAAGCAGCATAGGTCCACATAGATCCATTCCTCTCCCTCCCACCCAATGGTAAGTCTGTGCCTATATGTGGAAGACTCATGCCTACACAGGAGAACATGCTTCATCAGACCGATGCCATTAGAAAAAACATGATTCACTGTGTGTCCCTGTGATCACCTCACCCATCTTTCCTGGGCAGCAACCCTTTGGGTTGATAGGCATTCCAACCTTACATTGACGGGTGTAAAAATGCCAGCTTCCAAGGTCTCCTTTAGTGGGTGAGAGGTCAGGATTCTGGGGTCCAAACCCTGGAAGGAAGTTCCTTGAGAGGGCCAAAATGTGTCCCAGGTGGCCCCAAAAATCCACACTCTGAACATGGGAAAACGTGCCCCATTATAGGAAAGTATACCTCCATGTGAAAAAGCAGGCCTTAAATGTGAAAACACACTTCCACACACCATAAGACCTGTGTCCCAGTAGGAAAAGTCATTCCACAAGTCTAAAGGCTGATGTCCAGATAGGAAAACATATCTCCATGGGCAGAGTACGCACATCTTGATATGGAAACTTGTGTCCACCTTAATAAGGTGCTTTGACATGCTTGGGTGGGCATCACAGCACCCACATTTCTTCTCAACCCAACCCCTAGACTCCATGATCATTGTTGAGTCTCCCTTCCTGTCTGGTTTGGGGAGAGCTGAGTGGTGTGCACTCCCCCCCCCCAATGCCGCTCCCTATACCCGGGTGGTAGAATGGGGATGGGGTAGCGTGTTGTTGTGGCTGGCAGTGGTTGGGGGAGGCAGAGGGAAGGGCCCAAAAGGGTGGAGGGTGGGGGGGTGGAGGGGGTGGGGGTGGACCCAGACCACTTGGCAGCAGGGTCAGGGCTCCAGGGGCAAGGAGAGGCATGTCGTCCGGTGCCCGACGAAGGGCAAGGGTATAATCAGGTGGGCAGGATGGGCGAAGGGTCTCTCCTGGGTCCCCTCCTACACCACCACCCCGCTTTAGCTGCAAGGACACCAATTCCTCCTCAGGTATCTCCCGGCCAGCTGTGGGGAGCAGGGGGCCCCCACCAAGCCCTCCGGAGCCTGTGCCACCAGGTGGGCTGAGCCGCCGGCATCGTAGCTCCTGTCGCCGGTCCCGCTTGTAGTACAGGGCAGCAAAGGCTAGGATGTTGAGGAAGAGAAGGGAGGCACCAACAGCCACAGTGACACTCAGCTCTGTGGAGTAGTCCCGTGAATCCCCTGGGAAGCGGTCATAGGCCCGGGGCCCGGGGTCTGGTTCAGGCTCAGGTGGAGTGGTGGCTGGTGGTGGGGGCCGGCGGGTGCCTGTGGCCCCAGGCGGTGGACGAGGGGGCCAGCGCGTAGCATAGGGTGGCAGGCGGGTGGTAGTGGATGTGATGAGTTCAGTGTGAAGATTGTGGAGGTGGGGCACCAGCTCCAGCCAGAAGGCCACCTTGTTGGCACGGTAGTTGTCCCGGACTCGGGGTTTGAGGCCTATATGCAGGTACTGCTTCTCCTTACTGTTGAACTTGCTCCACACGACCTCCTCAAAGCGGTTGGGCTTGGTGTGGATGAACTTGGTATCCTGGGGAACTGGCTGGTTGGGATCACTGCAGGGATCGGGGAAGGAGAGTGGAGGAGTGAGATTCGAAGGCCCAGAGAGAGAGGCAGTGACAGAGATAGAGATTTATCAAGAGCAAAGAGATACGTACTGTGAAAAAGATGTTGAAAAGAGAAAGACACAGGTAGGAAGAGAGAGATGGAAAACAAAGGAAGAGTAAGTAGAGGTACCATAGCTAATAGAGAGATGGATAGAGCAATATAAAAGGACTGACATACAGAGAGAATCCAAAAGCTCAGAGATACAGAACAAGAGAAAAGGGAAGATTGAAAAAAAAAAAGGAAACAGCTGATGGCAGAATAAAATGGGAAAGAGATATGGGGATGGAAAAGAAAGAGATAAAGTAAGGTGAGAAAAAAAGAAAAAGGAGGAAATGAGAGGAAGAGAACAGTGGTGAACAGAGGAAAGGTGAGTAAGACAGTGGAAGATGAGAAAAGAGGCAGAAACAGGAAAGAAGACAGGTATAGAAAAACACATGAGAACAGATAGGGAAAGACACAGACACAGAGATGAACAGAGCCAGAGATGGGGAAAGAGGTAGAAGGGGAGAAGGGAAACAGAGAGAAAAATACATGGGGAGAGTCACACAAGAGGATGGACACTAAGAAAGGAACTGGAAGAAAGACACAGGGAGATAGGAAAAAAAGGGGGGAGAAGGAAAGAAGGGAGAGGGAAAAGGACAATAGTGGGGAAAGGAGGAAATAAAAGAGAGGGGAAGGAAGTGATACACAGAAAAATAAAGAATAGACTCCACCACGGGGAGGGGGAAGAGGGAGACATCCTGGACCTCCCTATCCCTTGTTCCTCCTCCAAAAGTGGACACCCTGCCCTCCCTCTGCTTCCTCCCCCTCACCCAGTCTTGGCGAAGTTGGTCCAGTAGGTCATGACAACAGCGCTGAGCATGACATCATTCTTGGAGAAGTTGCAGGGAAAGAGATCCGTGGCACCCACCATGGGCACCCCAAACACGTAGGGCAGCTCATCACCATGAGCTGCATCAGCCCACTCAGGCCTGCCCTCTGCCTGGCAATGATGGTAGAAAGTATAGAAGTAGACAGGTGATTGGTAATCAGCATGAAGCTTTGCAGTAGCCACGGCTGGGGCCACCCACTGGTGGTCAGTAAAGAGAGCTAGGAGCGTCTTCCGCCTCATTTCACCATTGTCCCGGTCAGCCCAGTCTGTGTACATGAACTTGATGGTCTCTCTCAGGACATCTTTGCCCTCAGGGTAGCCATAGAGATTGTCCACAAAGTTGGAGACTGTGAAGTCAAAGGCGCTAGCTGATACACCATCCTCACTCTCTGCTGAATCCTCCACAAACTTCAAGCCCTCACCCTGGTTGACACCAATCAGCATGTCATAGTTGAGAAATTCACCCTGCTGCATCAAGATCTCTGGGTCATCTGGGACCACGTCACCATCCACCACTGGACCAAACGCAATGTGGTAGCTAGAAGAAGAAAGCCAAGTCAGTCTTTAGGGAGACTTGAATCCTCCTGGGTTAGTGAGGCCACTCATAGGCCCACCAACTCTCCCTAGATCAAACAGTACTATCAAACCAAGTGAGGGTCTTTCCAGGATATTTTAGACATCGCAGCCCCCCCCCTTCATGTATATGCTTTGGTCCAATAACACTGGTCTACTTGTCCCTCAAACAGCATACTCCATCTATTGACTCCTGGCATTTTTCACTGGCTGTCTCCCATTCCTGGAATTCCCTCCCTCCTAGCTTACCTGGCTTTCCCATCCCTTTTAACTCTAGTGTAGAGGGGGGGAACCTGCAGCCTTGAGGCCACATGTGGCCCTCTGGGTCTTCAAGTATGGCCCTTTAACTGAATCCAAACTTCATAGAACAAACCCCCTCAATAAAAGGATTTGCTTTATGAAACAGTCAAAAGGCCATACCCGAGGACCTAGAAGGCCACATGTGGCCTCAAAGCTCCAGGTTCCCCACCCCTGCTCTGGTGCCTTCCCTCTATTGATTACCTCCAATTTATCTTGTATATCTATTTTTAATTAATCAATTTATTTTGAATTATAAACAGTCACTTCCATAAGCTTTTGAGTTTTATCTTGCATATATCTTCTTTGTACATAGTCGTTTGCACACTGTCTCCTCTGTTAGACTATAAGCTCCTTGAGAGTAGGGATTGTCTTCTGTCTTTCTTTGAGACCCCAAAGTGGCCTGTTAGCCCAGTACCTGGCACACAGCAGGCACTTCATAAATGTTTATTGAGTCCTGTCCCCCCAGACCCTGGGAAGCAGGAGCGCTGGTCTCCCCCATACCGGGCTGGTTGCACATCCTGATCGACAAGCTCCCGAGAGGGTTTTCTTCGAAGACACTCCACAACCTCAGCATTTTCTTCCTGGTTACAGCCCACCTTTGCTGCCAACAGTTGTGTGTACTTGAGTGGCTGGTAGTTAACAGACCAGCTGGAGATGGCTGTACCACTCTGGGCAATGGCTTTCTGGAACAGTCCTGGTGGTGGTGGTGGTGGGAAGCAGGGAATGGACACAGACACACAGAGGAAGCACTGCAGTGGGTGAGGGAGCTCTGCAGCACTCACCAGCAGCAGGGATGGGACTAGAGAGACATACTCAGGACTTCTTAGAAGAGCTAGATGCAGCTCAGCTGAGGGGGAAGGAGCCAAGGAAAAGGAGGCTGTCCTCCACATAAATTCAACTGGGACTAGGAAGAACAGAACAGTGGAAACCTTTAGGACAGGGGAATCAGAGATCCCTGGGACTGGCCTAGGAAGGATAAGGGATGAAGACACTGGGTCCCCCCAAAACACCATGCCAGTACCTTCAGAGTGGTGAGAGAGAATAAGCAGGTTAACACATGAGGCTCCAGCTCCAGAGCCAAAGATGGTAATTCGCTCTGGGTCACCTCCAAAGTGCCCCACATTTTCACTGAGCCAGCGCAGTGCTTGGATCTGGTCGAGGAGCCCATAGTTACCCTTGGCAGCCTGGTCCCCTGTGCTGAGGAACCCTGGGCAGAGTAGGAGGGTGGGGAGAGAGGGAGATCGCGGGGAAGGTGATGGAACTCCCTCAGCCCTTCCTAGGGGAAAACCTCGCCCACATCCCTCGTGCACTTGTACAGACCCACCCGTATTTACCTAGCCACACCCCTTCTGGGACAAGACACGCCCTGCTGGTCCAGAACATCCCAACCTGGTCCTCCCTTCCTCCCTGCATCCCCCCCATCCAGCCCCAGCAAGTCCTGCGCTCTAGACCCCACGCACATCACGCCCTCACCGAGCACACCGAGCCGGTAGTTGAGCGTGACCACAATCACGTTGCCATAAGCGGCCAGGACCGAGCCGTCAAACATGTTCCCCGTCCCCTCCATGTAGGAGCCCCCGTGGAGGAACAGCATCACCGGCTTCTTCCCCGAGTCCCGGATGTCTGGTAGGGGCGGAGCCACAGCGAGGGGTGGGGTCAAGGAGGAGCCATGGGGATGAGGTGGGTTTGAGGGTGGAGCCACATTGAAGGGATGGGTAAAGGGCAAAAGGCACAGGTGAGCAGCCAGGTAGGGGCAGAACCACAAAGAGGGGTTGGGTCACAGAGAAAGGTGGGGTCGAGGAAGGAAATACAAGAAAAAAGGGTGTGGGGAGGATATGAGAGACTCCAAAAGAAGGGCAAGGTGAACACAGGTGTTCTGGGGAAGACCGCATTGCATTTGGCTCCCAATCCTAAGTTAGAGGGTGAGGGGTAATTCAGAGGGAAATAGTTCACTTTCCAGAAAGGCAGACAGAATGAGGGTGCCGGGCCAGAAGAGGGGGTGAGGTATAGAGCAAGACCGGGGTTACCCTCCCTGAAGGGCCCTTAGTCCCAGAGAGAACAAGGTGGCCCTTTGAATAATAGGGACCCCAATAATGTATGCACACAACCTCAGACCCAGGCAAGTGCCTCAGAATCTACACTGCCCAAATCCAGACCTGGTACCTTGTGCCTTGCTAATCAGGGCTCTCCTGCTGTTACCCCATACCCTGAGGCCCAAATCAAAAGCAGGGCTATGGGGACTGGCTGAAGGGTAATCATGTAATCTAGCAATGGGAAGGGACTATCTATAAGTCAGAAGGTCTACCACTCCATGGCAGGGCATCTCCTACCCAACCTTCCATTTATATCCCTCTCGTACCCTCTTCTCATTCCTTTGTTGAACCCTCGTTGCTAAAATGGAGCAGACTCTGGGGATCCAATAAGAAGTTACTGGCTATTCATTTCCATAGGCCTCAGCCCTCTACTGTTTCCTCAGGAGTATGCAAGGCAGGGAGGGGAGGGCATCAGGTTCTGGGGTTTTGATGGGAGGGTCAGCCTCCTCCTCACCCTAATTCCTTTCTAGGGCATCTCACTAGTTGTCATGGCAACAACCCCAGCCTAATTAGTTTGGCTGAGGGAGTGTTGGGGAGAGGTTATGAATGGGCTAATGAAGTCATTGAATGTCCAAACTTCATCAAAAACCCGAGGGATAATGTATGTCAATCAATTTACATATCTTCTAGTGCTACAATTATTTTTCTTGCTCACCCTCCACCCCTAGGGAATTGGCTAGAGCCTAAGAACTTTAATTCTTCCCTCTACTTTAGGGATCTCTGAGATATGGCACCTCACAAATAGAAGGGGCCAATTTAACATCAGGGGATTCCTTCCTCCTCTTCACTCCCCAAAGTTATACAAGCTAACAACCAGGATAGAGATGACTTATCTAATTCTAGGACACCTGCCAGAAGAACCCAGGAGCTTCCTCAAATCCTGAATGCCCTTACCTATCCCAGAAACCTTAGCACAGCTCTTCAACATGCTCTTCTCTCCTCTGCAGGAAACCCATTCCTCCCCAGACCCTTGGTTCTCCATAAAAACAGACATGAAATCTCTTAAACTTCTGTACTTTACAAGTCTCTGGCATACTTGCTACCCGGAATTTTTATATACCTCCTTTTTTAAGTCCCCTTGTTAACGTCCTCCAATTCCTAAAGTGCACTTCCTCACAATTTCCTGTTCATCTACAAAAGGTTGTGGAAACATCTTCTCCCTTGCCCCTGTGCAAGACTGAACCCACTCAGAGCATTTCTCATTGTCTATCCTTCCCTTTGTCTTTCTACCTCCCCTCTCCCAACTCTTCATCCTAGGTCAGAGGAGCATAGAATGTCAGAATTGGAAGGGATCTTAGAGACATCTTCTGGTTAAACCCCTTCTTTCAACAGAGAAGGAAGCACAGGCCCAGAGAAGTGACTTTTCCAAGTCCACACTGCATATGAGTTAGTGACAAAATTAGAACTACACCTCAGGCCTTCTGATTTACATGTCACTGTTCTTACCCTCCTGCTCTTTCACTTGCTATCTAGCCCTAACTCCTTTTCCCCAACAATCCAACAATTCCAATGAAGAACACAGACCCTCCCATCTACCCAAATTCTGGTGTCACAGGATAGTTTCCTTAAATCAGTTGCCTTCTCTTGAAAGCCGCAGCTGTACCCTGAGTTCCTAGTGCTGATCCCCTCTCCCCAACATGCCCTCCCCAGCCCAGCACCACCACTCTCCCAGTGTGGGGGGAAAGGGGAGGCAGAGGGGTGCAAGGCAGGGCAGGCAAGGGTAGGGGCAAGGAGCAACAAGAATTCAAAAACAACAATGACAACAAAAAAGAGATCAAGAAAGAAGAAAGAAAGAAAAAATCCCCAAAGCAAGAAAATCATGGGCCAGATTCAACAAGAAAAGAAAAAACAAAAACTTTTTTTGGGGGGGGAGAAAAAGAAAAAAATTATTTTCATTTTCAAAATTTTGCAGCAAAATTTGGGTCCCGTTTTTAAAAAGTTTCCACTTTTTATGACTGGTTTCAAATGTCACTGTTATCTGAACCTCACTTGTTTTCCAATACTTCAAATTGTGTCAGTTTCTAATTTTAAAAAATTTTTTCCATTTCCCCCAACTCTCCTTAATTTCCAATTTTCTCCAAATTTCCCATTTAACTCAAAATTAAATCCCTCCAAGATTTTGCATTTGCAAAGATGTCTAAAGTACCAAAGTTTTGCCAGTTTCTTCTAAGCTCTAAAATTATTCCAATTTTCTTGATTCTTTTCATGATTCTAATACTCTAATTCCTTTCATTAAAATCTTTAAGAAATTATTGTTTTTCATTCATATGGTCAATTGGTTCCAAAAGTTTGTACAATTCATTTTTTTAAATTAAAAAAAAATCCCTGCTCATAATCATTTCCTTTCCTTTCCTTTCCTTTCCTTTCCTTTCCTTTCCTTTCCTTTCCTTTCCTTTCCTTTCCTTTCCTTTCCTTTCCTTTCCTTTCCTCTGCTTTCCTTTCCTTTCCTTTCCTTTCTTTCCCTTCCCTTCCCTTCCTTCCCTTCCTTCCCTTCCCTTCCCTTCCCTTCCCTTCCCTTCCCTTTCCCTTCCTTTCCTTTCCTTTCCTTTTCCTTTCCTTTCCTTTCCTTTCCTTTCCTTTCCTTTCCTTTCCTTTCCTTTCCTTTCCTTTCCTTTCCTTTCCTTTCCTTTCCTTTCCTTTCCTTTCCTTTCCTTTCCTTTCCTCTGCTTTCCTCTGCTTTCCTCTCCTTTCCTTTCTCCTCCTTTCCTCTCTGTATATATGTGTATGTCTGAGTGTAAAGAATGATTGTAAAGGGACCTTAGGGACCATGAGATTTTAGTCTGGGTTGTTTTGGGTATGGTAGGCCAGGGATCCTCTGTGTCATTGTCGGCAACCACATGCAGCAGCGGCATTTAAAAAAATCTACCTGTGTCTGGCGGGGGCGGATTGAGCGTCGACTCGTCACGTTTTTTTGTGATCGGACCTAAGACCGGGAACACAAAACAGAGAAAAAAGGACAATTTTGTGGGGAAAGATGGGGGGGGGTCGGGGAGGTAGTGGATGGGGGAGGGAAGGAGAGAAAGCAGAAAAGGGGATGGGGTGGGAAAGCAGGGGGAAAAAACGAGCCAAAAAAGCAAAATGTGTTTGCAAGAAAAAGAAAACAAGAAAAGATAAAAATGCTTCTACATCCCAATTTTGCTCCCCCCACCTCGGGAAAAAAACATACCCAAAAAAGGCTGTTTATTCTTTTTTGTGAGGGTGGGGTTGGAGGGGGCAGGTGTGGCTAGGCCTGGGGTGGGAGGTAAGTGGGTGGGCTTTAGAGCTGTCATAAGAGATATGTTACACTTGATTGGAAAGGACTTGTTTCATTCAGTCTGTTGGCTCATAGCTGGAAAATTAAATGATGTTAGGAGGTGGGGCAACAGGGAGGAGGGGGGGGAGCCCTGCCTAGGAGACCCTGCTCCTTATCCCCACCCCCAATGCTAATGTCACCTTTTCCTCTCCTTTCTCAAGCTGGATTGGATGGGCATGGGGGAGAGTGAAGCAAAAGGAGACCCAAGCATTTCTGTTCAAGAGGGTGGAAGGCAGGAAGCATGACTCTGTTCCTCTGTACCACTTGACCAAGGTTGGTTAGGGTTCATTTGCCTCCCTTCCTGACTCACAGGCCTGGTTTCTCCACCTTCAGATCCCCAACCCTAGTGCCCCTTTCTTTAAGAGTCCCCTCTTCAACCCAAGGTGGGATAAAAGGAAGAAATGGATAATCTAAGTTTTGTCCTTCTCCCTGCTCCTTTCAGGTATCTAAGCCATTCCTCTGCTCCCTCTCAGGAATCTAAGCCATTCCCTGGGGGACCAGTTCACCCTCTTCCAAGATACTGCTCTCTTCAAGGAGAAAGTGGAAATTGCCTGCTGGAGTAGTCCATAACCCTAAACTTCATACCCTACTTTCCATCTCCACCCACTTGTCATTCCCAAACCCCACATTCTTAGAGACCCAGACCCTGGAAGATGCAGGGGGCCTATTTGTCCTGGGAGGGAGTGCATGGAATGAGAGCGGTACTTAGGGGACAAGGAAGGACAAGCTCCAGAGAAGAAAGGTGTGGGAGTAAGGACTAGAGAGGAATAGAAACCAGGTTCCCAAATCCCTGGGAAAGTCAATCATCTAGCACCATGATTCAAGGGCTGGGGCAGAGGTCAAAAGACCACAATTCTGGGTGGATTTCTCCAACCTAAGAGCAAAATACTCTCTGGTGGTAGAGTGGGGAGTAGGACCACTTCCTTCTACAGGACAAATAGGTTTGCTCTAGTGTGTCAGTGGAATACCTTTTGGAGGGAGTGCAATTTCTGTATCTGAGTGATATAGTGGGGGCAAAGAGAAATGTTGGGTGGTAAATTGTGAGGCATTTGTGGGATAGATTGTGTATGGGAAGAAGTTGAAACACTTTTAAAGGGAATTTTGCCATAGAATATATGCATGATATTGGGGTAGAGTCTAGGTGGTAGATTGTGTGTCTGGAGCAGTAAGTTATGAAGATGTTGGAGATATTCTTGTTCTATTGGGAATGATGGCAATAAACTACATATATGTGTATGAAGATTATTAGGGGTAGATATTGTGTGTGTATGGGGGCATTTGTGTGCAAGGGGATTGATGGGTACTGTCAGAAACAATATTGGGGGGTAAATTATATGGGTTTATGGTGTAAGTGGTGAATTGTGTGCCTGTAAGGGGGATGCTAGGGATTCTTTGTGTGAATATGAGATATTAGGGATAAATTGTGTGACCAAGTGGATATCAGTGGTAAACAGTATGTGTACTGGGAATGTGGCGGAATTGTTTATGTGTGTTAGGAAATAAATTATATGCATGTATGGTAAGTAATAGAGTAGATTGTGTGCATACAGGGGAGTACTGAATAGCAACAGTTAATAGGGGCTATGATGTATGTTTAAGGAGATATGAGGGTAGATAGAATATTGGAGAAGGTGGAGGATCAATTGAACTTGCCTCTCAGGTAGTATTGGAGGGGATGTAAATTAAATAGTGTATATGGGAATTAGATTTTGTAAATGCATGGGATTAAGTTGTGTGGATGCACAGGTAATTTTGGGAATAGACAATCTCTTTGGAGAGATTGTCAAAGATAGTTTGTGTACATGTGTCAGGGGTGTTGGGGATAGATGATATATGAGGGTTGGGGTGGTTTGTGTCAGGAAGTCAGAAAGCATTTATCTAGTCTTAATCTAGATAGTTGGAAGTTGGATTGTCTAGAGATCATTTAGAGAGTGAATTGTGAATGTTCAGCTAGGGGTCAGTGGGGTTTGGCCCTATGACATGATATTTAGAGAGTATTTTCTGCTTCCTTGATGAAGAGGGTATTGAGGATTGATTTTTGAGCCCAGGGTTGGTATTTTCTCTTAAAGGTAATAATTAGTGGGATGTGTCTGATTCAGGGGGTTACTTGCTCTTGGAGTGGGTAAGTAGTTTAGAAAATGCCTATATCCTTCAGGAATATTTGGCTGGGGAGGCAGGACAGTTGGAAGCAGGTAGAGGAGGAAGGAGAGGGAAATGGAAAGGGAGAAAAATCATCTTTATCAAATGCTGTGGTTTTCTCTTTAGGATAGTAGAGGGCTCAACTGGCCAATATTTGTTTATGAAGTGAGTATATATGGAAGTGTAGGGCGTATGTATATAATATGCTCTGGGAGTGTTGACACATGTATGTGCATAATATGCTTTGGGATTTGCTGTGTGATGCATGTATGGGAAATGTTTGAGTTTATTTTCTGGGATAGGGATGTGGTATAAGACGTGTATGGGAACACATAACTATATCTGAAAGAGAGAGAGAGAAAGAGAGAGAGAGAGAGAGAGAGAGAGAGAGAGAGAGAGAGAGAGAGAGAGAGAGAGAGAGAGAGAGAATATATGATTATTTGCCTTGATGAAAAGGTGCCTGTGGGTGGAGTATGGGATCTGTGCATGAAGGGGCATGTGTGTGTGTCAGATCTAGGGAAGGGGGCAGATTTGTACCACCAGTCTCTGCCCTTACCATCCTCAGTGGGCACGTAGAGGTTGAGGTACAGACAGTCCTCACTCTGGTTCTGCACGTAGCCAGCGGCAGCCTCCAGGTTGTCCGTGAACCAGACCGGGAGCATGATGGCTGGGAGGGCGCCGTGGAGGTTCTGGGGGCAGGCAGGCGGGAGGGCGGTAGCGTTCCTCACCCCAGGCCAAGAGGCTGGTGCCTCAGGGGGCTGGAAGCGTCGGGCCCCCAGAGGGGGTGTGGCGTAGGGGACCCCCAGGAACTGCATCACTGGGCCCAGGATCTCGTTGTTGAGTTCTCTACGAACTCCCCGCACACGCCCATACGCGGTGCCAACCACTGGGAATCGTTCCTCCCCAGCCCCAGGACCCCCTGGGATACCGCCTATTGGACCCCCTCCGCCCCTTTGAGCCCCCACCAGCCCCACCAGACACAGCACCAAGAGCCACATGCTGATTGGGGGGGACCCCCCTCCCTCCCTGGGATCCCCCCCCTCGGAGAGAGAGAGAGTAGGGGGGGGGAGAGGGAGGGAGATCCCCCCCTCTCCCCAGGGGGAAGGATGGGGAGGGGGAAAAGGGGGAAGGAAAGGGGGCAGGGAGGGAGGGGAAGTTAGATAGGGAAGAAGAGAGGTCTGTTGCGCTCCATGGAGAGAGCAAAGGGTGGGGAATGGGGGGGTAGATGGTAAGTGGGGGAAGACGGCAGGACCTAGAAAGAGATAAAACAACAGGCTTGGGGATGGAGAGATAGAGGGATACAGAAAAAGAAAAACAGGAAGAGGGAGGGATATAGAAGCAAAAAAAAAGACAAGAAACAGAAAGGAAGAGAGGATTAAGATAGAAGCAAAATAGGAGGGGAAACAGAGAGAAGAGACAAGTGGTTAGTTAGAACTCAGGTTCTGCATTACTTCCATCCCTCCCACCAACCCCTCAACCCTACCACCCCCAGAACAGATACAGGGCAAGAGATAAGAGGAGCCAGGTCATGGTCAATAGGAAGGAGCTCAGGTCAGCATAGTCTAAGGTCCCTGAATCCCTACAGCACAACTCTTCGGGATTAGGGATTCAGGTCCCCTAAACATAGGGCCTCCATACTTCCTAGTTCTGGCTTCTCTCAGGGACTGGGGTGTCCAGGTTTACTTATACACACACACACACACACACACACACACACGTGTTGGTCTGGGGGAGGAGAGAAATAGACTTGAAAGAGAAAATAAAAATACCAATTCATTAATTAGCAGGAAGTGGTGGTTTGTTTATCTGTGTTAATTACTTTGGAGCTATAATTTAACCACCACAGCAAACTCCCCATTCCCACCCTTGCTCTGAGGTAGTGGCTGGGACCCAGGTTTTCAACCCCCAGCTTCTTTTCTTCTCTATCCCTCAGTACCCAAGGGGACTTAGGTATCCAGCCCTCCAGCTGTCACCTATCTTCTTTCACATAGCTGCCTTCTTTTCTCTTTCCCCTAAAGTTCAAGGGTTTCTGGTGAGTTAGTGACTGGACAGCTGAAAGCCTGGATCTTCTGACTGGGGAGGAGGGTTTATATGGGGGGTGGGGGGCAATTTCTGGGGAAAGATGTGTGATCCTGGTACTGGTTGCCAGGACAACTGGATGCTGCCCCGCAATGTTACCGCGGCAACCAGCTGCAGCTTTAACCCTGGAAGGAGGCTAGGGGGTGGAAAAGGGGGGCATGAAGGGCTTTGAGACCAGAGATACTGGGGTCTCTACTAGAAACCGGGGTTGGAGGAGTAAGAGTGGAAAAAACCCAAGGACTGGGACACCAGACTCCTGGGTCTCTCCCACCCTTAGAGCTAAAATAAAAGAGCCTGTATTGTGGGGGGGGGAGGAGTTCGGGGGTGCCAGAGAGGCCTGAAGGCCCCGCCTCTTGCCCCCCTTGTTGGCCAATCCTAGTATAGCACTAGTGACCCAGGCCTGCAGACTCTGGTGAATAGGTAGGGAGGGGGAACTACTTATGCTGGAATGGTGGGGGGTGGGGTAGAAGGCTTGAGATGAACACAGCAACTGCCCCTTGACAGTGTTAGTCTCTGTTCACCCTACTCTTCTAGGTCACCTCCCCTCCAAAAAAAAGAACTGAAGGTTCCTTACTGGCACTGGGGTTGCAACCTACATGTTTCACCTATCCCTCCACCTCAATCTAGTATTCCACTTCTGTATTGGCTCCAAATCTAGCCTTTCCTCCTTTCTAGGGCTCAGACAACCAGCCTATTTGCCTCCCTTACCTCTCCTCTCCCAGTTCACTAAGATGGAACGAATTATCACATAATATTTGTGGGTAAAGCACCTGGGTCCCCTGAAAAAAAGCAGGATTTAGGGAAGGGGGGAAATCCAGACACCTGGGTGATTCTTACATACTCTTTCTTCCCCTCCCCTCCCACTGCCAAAGCTGTTTGCTGACAAGGAGATTTCTTTGGGTCATTTTCAGAGCCAGGAATGTTTGCATGCCTGCCAGACCAGCTCTCTCTGCAGGTGTCAATTTATTCTGGAGATGAGGATACTGAAATCCCCAATACCACTCCAGTCCTATTCCTTTCCCACCTCACCTTTCCTTACCCCACCTCCCCAACTCACTGTTCTGTTCTTTAGGACCCTGCCCTCTCCTGGTATTTCATATCCCAACTCACTTGGGTCTTGTTTCACTGCTCTCCATCCCCACCATTCAGTTACTTCTCCACTCCCCAATCTCTCTCTAGTTCTCCCTGCTTCTCCTTCTGCCTCCTTCCCATCCCATCTCCCCATCTTTGTTTCTTTTTCTCCCTTACATCTCTCCCTCCCACTCCTTCCATCTTCCAACACTTCTGATCTCCATCGGTCTCATCCCTTTTCTACCTACATCCTTTTCCTCCCTCTCCTTCATCCCTCTTCCCCTTCTTTCTCCATCTTTCTCTCTTTCCCTCCATATCTCTATGCATTTCCCCCTGCATCTTCCTTTTGCCTTAATCTGTCCCCATCTCTCTCTCCTGCCCAATTTCTTTCTCCATCTCTTTCTCATCTCTTTCCCCTTCCTTTCTGCCAATATCTCCCTCCTATCTCCTTCTCCTCTATTTCTTACACTCATCTCTCTCCTATCTCTCTCTTCCCATCTTATGTCTCCATTTCTCTTCCAATCTTTCTTCCCCACCCCCCTTCTCTTTTTCAATCTCTCCCTCCCTCCCTCCCTCCCTCCCTCCATCACCTGCTCAGGCCTGACTCCCCAAACCCAAAGGGAGTTGGGAGGCAGGGGTTCAGGCCTCAGCCCCCTCCCCTGCAGTGGAGAAATGGATTGGCCAGGAAGGGGGAGGAGGAGGGGGAGATGGGAACACACGGGGTCTGTGGGCCCATTGAAAGGATCATTCATGGGCTGGAGAGAGAGAGAGACAAAGAGACAGAGACAAAGTGACCAAGACCAAGAAAGAGAGGGAGAAATGAAGATACAGAGATACAGGGACTGAAGATGGCTAGAGAGAGATATGCAGAGACAGGCACACGGCAGACCCTCTGGGGCCCCTCCCCAGTCTCTTACCTGCCTCAACCCCGGGGCCGTGGCTTCTCCATCAGGGGCTCGGAGTGGGGGAGGAGGGAGGCAGATAGGGTCCTTAGGGGTGCAGGGGCCTTAGAGCCTCCAAACCCGGCAGACCGGGCCCCCGCCCACAGCGCCTCACCCTACTGGGGAGGGGGATTACCCCAAGCCCCGGGGGCGGGCCAGAATCCAGTCGATTCCCAGGGAGAGGAGAGGTAGGGTACGAGGCCAGGGAAAGGAGAAGCAGATGCCCGCCTAGGAGGGGGCTGGGAACCAGGAATCCCGCAGCGGGGGTTGAGTACGATGGATTGGAGACCGCTGGATCCCTGGAGATATTCGAATGGGGCTGGGGGCGTCTCCCGATAGGACTTGATTGAGGAAGAATTGAAAATGGGGAGAAGGTGGAGGATCTCACGGATCCTGAGAGATCAGGGATGGGGGGGGAATAGTCTCCGGAGATCCTAAGGGATCTGAGGGCTGTCGGGAAGGCCCCACGCTGAATCCTCTGAACAGGAGGGAATTAGGTCGGAATCCTTAGGAAGGAGGAGGAGGAATCCACTCGGTCTCGAGTAAGGGGGAAGAAAATCCAGGGGAGATCAGAAAAGGTCGGGTTTTGGGTCCCTTGCCGACCTCCCCAACCCTGGGCTAGGGGGTTGGGAGCTGGGTTCCAGAGATCCTGGGATTGGGGAAGGCAGAGCGGGGACGGTGTCCCTCGGGGGATGGTGGAGGTAGAGGAGAGGAGTGGTGGGGGAAGCGCTTAGCTGCTGGGCGGCCCGAACTCCTGGTTCTGCGAGCCGGGGCCCGCCCGCCCCTCGTCCATCCCAGCCCGAGAGTGATGAGCCGCCGGCGGAGCAGCCGCAGCAGCCACGCGCGTCACAGCCCAGCTGCCTCCCCCTCCCCTCTCCCTCCCCCCAACCCCGCTCGAGCTCGCTACTTCCCTCCCTCCCTTCTCTTTCCCCGGCCTACAGAGCCTTGCATCCCCTCACTCTGATGTTCTCTCTCCCTCCACCCATCCCTTCCCTTTTTCTTCGCTTCCGCCTCACTGCTTCTCTCCCATCCCCCCTCCCTTTCCTCCTTCCTCTCCTCCCCTACCCCAACTTCAGGTACCCCTCGCCTCTTCTCCCCACTTTGGCCCCACCTCTCCCAGGCCTTTTGCTCCTTCAGAGACCATGGAGAGGTAGTGGAAATGGGGGTCAGGGATGCAGGTGGAAGAAAGGAGTGAAAGGGGGGAGGGGCGGTGACAGATAGAAATCTAGAGGCATCGAAGAGGCTGAATGAACCTAGTCCGACTAAGAGCAGAGAAGGAGGTGAGGAGAGGAGGAAGCGCGAGACAGGTGGGGCTTAAGTAAGAAGATGCAAGGGGTACCTGGGGTTGGGGTGGGGGTGGCTCCCTCTTCTGGACACTTCTCCCCCTGCCCTAGGCGCTGGTTTGGCCCTGGAGATCTGGGCTGTGGGGAGGCCGGGACGAGGGAGCCTGGGTGTGGTTTCTAGTAAATTTGGGTGGGGGGCAATGCTAGCCAAGCAGGGGGAGCCCAGGAAAAAAATAGACCTCCAGGTCTCTAGAGGCAGGGAGGAGGAGCCCTATAGGCAGGGACCAAAATCGTCTGTCCAAAGGTAGGCAGGGTTTGCAGCACACGAGGCGGGGCCAGTGGGAGTAGGTGGGGCTATGAGGGAGTGATTTTGGACCTTGAGTCCAGCCCTAGGTGGTGTCTCTTCTCTTCCACCCGCCCCTTGCCCACCTCCTAATTGGTTTTCAGTTCTTCCGCCCGCAGGGCACCTGCGCCATTCACCAGCAGCTTCACAATCTTTTCAACTTGGTTGAGGGGTGAAGGTGGTAGACGCTAAAATTAACGCAGCCAGGATTGGGCAGTGGAAGAACTTATTTGCATAGACGATTGGGATTGGCTAGATTCTCGGGTCTGTGGTCCGGAATTCCTAAATTCTGTGACCTTCTACTGCCATGGCTGGACTGGGTGCTGCTTTCCGCCGCTTAGGCGCTGTGTCCGGAGCCAGTGCCTTGGGGTTGGCCAGTTACGGGGCTCATGGTCAGGGGGCCGGGCCGGGGTTTAAATTATGGGTATAGAGCTGAGGTGGAGAGGGCCGGGAGCAGGGGTCTGGAAGTGGGTGACTTCAAAGGGTCAAGTGGGTAGAAGCTGGGAGCTGGGCGGACTAAAACTGGTGGAAGGTGGACTTAACTGGTCTGGTTCGAGCCTGCCCTCGACCACTTTTATGGGTTAGTTTTCGAAGCAAAAGACCCTTCTCCAACCTACCGAGTCTCACTACGATTGGCCACTCTGACTGTCAATTTACTGCTTCTGCCTAATCAGAAGCCGGCAAGGGGCCCGTTTGAAGGACCCCTTTATCCCAGGCTGGCAGGTTAGGTGCGGTCACGATTTCATAAAGTGCTTGGATTTGGCAGGTCGGTATTAATTTTTGCTGTTATCTTTTACAGGTGCGAACATCCAGGACCCATATCGTAAAGAGGTAAAAGAGCTGCCCTACCTTTGCTGCTGGCCTAGGCCTTAGGGGGTGGGGGGAGTTGATGATGACCCTAATATGTGTAGAGTTCCCAAGAGAAAAGGAGCACTGGAGTCTCAGTTACTTGGGCCACCAAAAGAACTGGGGTTGGGGAAGTCGAAATGTGTTGGAGTCTACCTGCCCTATGCTCTGTGGGGCAGGGGCCATGGAGACCTGGTTATTTCTTAGAGAAGGTGGGAATACGGACTTCAATATAACAGGGAACCTTTAAGGGAGTGGAGAGGGAACTGTAAATCTATATAAATTCCTGAGAAAAATGCAGTTCTTGCATTTTCTTTCATTTTCTAGCTTTTTGAGAAAACCAACAAACACCACTTCTTCCACAGTCTGGCTCTGCTCTGCGTCCCCCTCTGTAGCAAGCAGATTTGGGTAAGTTTCAGGGTGCCTGCAAGCCTATTCATCCTCTACCCTGCCCAGAATGTCCTCCCCACCAAAAGAGTTATCTTTATTGGGGGAGTGAATGTTGTAACTGGGCAGGGCTGGAGGCACAAGTCAAAGAGACTGAAGGAGAGTATGGAGGGATGAGTCATAGGCTGAGGACCTGTGGGAACATTCCTATATCACAGGAGGAACAGAGCTGGTGTAATCCCCAATCCCAGTTCCTGCACTTCAGAGCTTCACATGTCTGTCTTCTCCTTTACTCCCAGGCTGGGACTCTGCTTACCTCTGGGATCTCCTTCTTCTGTGGCAGCTTTTACTACCAGGCCCTGACAGGAGACACCATGGCAATGCCCATTGCCCCTGTGGGGGGCTCCCTGCTTATTCTTGGCTGGCTTGCCTTAGCTCTTTAATCTTCCCCTATATTATCCCACCCAACCAGTCTTCAGACTAACCTCTTTAGGCATGATGCAGCAAACCTGTTTTTGTAAGGGTACTCCAGTTGTTCCTGGGAGAAGCCACCAACTGATGGGATGCTGGGGAACTTGATTTCTCCATCTTTGCTGGTGTTTTGTTTGGAAATTGGGAGTGAGAAGAAAATTAAAAATGAAATGCAGAAAACTTTGGCATCTTTATTAATCCCACCTGGGTAGCAGGGTGTGGGAGGAATCTGACCTGAGGGACTCTTATTTATATTCTTTCCTTTGGTAATCTCATCTACTAGGCTGGCTTCATCTGTTACCTTTATATCAACCTTAGTTTTCTTGTCAGCTCTGATAAATTCATTTCCTAACATTACACAAATAACTCCTATTAATCTCTCCCTGACTCCAATCCCATATCACCAACTCCCTGCTAGGTATGTCTACATTTCTAAACTGAGCATGGCTAAAACAGAATCTTTCCCCAAAACACATCACTTCTTCAAATTTCCCATTAAGGGCAGCACCATCTCCTAGATATCCAAGTTTGTAGTCTTAAAGTCATCTTTGTCATTTCCTTCTCCCTCAACCTCCATATTGAACTGCCAAGTCTTGTCAATTGTACCTCATTGACCTCTCTCTTATTCATCCCCCTCTTCCTGCTCAAACTGCCACTAACTCAGGGCTTCATCACCTTCCATTAGACTATTGTGATAGTCTCCTTATTTGGTCTTCCTGATTCCAATCTCTCTTTTCTTCAATCCTTTCTTCAGGTAGCTCCCAAAATAATCTTTAGTTCAAACAAGTACCTGCTACGTGCAAGGTACTGTGTCTCAGTGTCCTCTTTGTAAAGTGGATTGGATAAGATGATCTTTGAGGATCTGTCCTGTTCTGACATTCTATGGATCTACAGCTAAAGCCAATATACTCATCTTCCTTCCAATCTGTTACCGATTCTACCATTTTGAAAGTCAAGGCTGAAATCTTGGCATTTTTGCTTCCTTTCTCACCTACTTCCAGGCACCAAGTCTTGTCCATTCTGTTTTCAAAATATCTCCAGCAAACAGCCCCTGCCATCCACCAGCCTACATATTATTGTGGGTAGGGGTAGGGAGAGAATATAACATGTGCATAAATGAATTTATTAAAATTAATTTCAAGAAGGAGAGAACATAGACAAGTGGAATGGTGGTAGCTGAGAAAAGCCTTATATAAGACGTAGCGTCTAAACTCTTTGGAAATGAATTCCAAACATAGGGGACTAAGGCACAGAGGAGGCTTTGACTCACCTATTTGGGGTGCCTTGCATGGCCCATCCCTTTCACAGTTTTCCTGCCAAGTTATAGTTGCCTGATTAGCATATCAAGACCTAAACTCAAAGCCCCCTTTTCATCAACCCTTCCATCCTTACCTCAATGGGACTAATTTGGTACGCCAGCTGATTTAGTATCTCTGGCCATGCCTAATCCTCTTGACTAAGGATTGGGGAAAGAGGAAACCGCTCTGACTCTTTTAGTCCCTATAGCAAACTTGGCTTGCCTTATGGCCAGATCTCTAGCTCTACTTTTCACCTGAGGAGTATCCTGATGGGATCCCTTACTCTGCCAGAGCTGTTTCTGGTTGTGAATATATACTAAATAAACCTGTTTGCTTTTCTGCTTTCTGCATCTGCAGTCCATACTGCTTCCTAAGTGCTCCATGGGTATTTCCCTTGCAATTCCCTTCCACCTTGACCTCGTAAGCAGACTAGTCCATAGGGGAGGGACAAACCACATTGCTCTCTTGACTTTCTATAGCATCTAGGACAAAAAGCCTTTTTGGACAGGCATTTTTAAGGTCTCCTATAATCTGTCTCTAACCTGCCCTGACAGCCTTATTTCGCGTTATTCCCCTTCATGTCCTAATCTGTTTTAAAGTGAACTATTAGCTCTTCCCTGAATTTGAATTCCATATCCATCTCTCATTTTTGTGCATTAAACAAGCCCTCTCCTCACCTAGAATATACTCCTTCCAAATTTCAACCTCCCAAAATACTTATCTTTTTTCTAGGCTAGTTATCACTTCCTCAGGTATCATTTCTTCCAGAAGCCTTACTTGTTACTGTTTCCTCAAATTATGCCCCCATATTGTATCCCGTGTTAGAATGTAAGCTCCTTTGGGGAAGTTGGAACTGTTTCATTTTTGTCTTTTATATGCTCGGGACCTATAGTGTCTTAGATATAGTTAGCCTTATTAACATTTGTTGAAGAGAATCTAAGGCATGTCCTTGTGAATTCTACCTCCGCAAAAAAAAAAATGTTTTTACATGCATCCCCTCCTTTCCATTTTTACTGCAACTACCTCATTCTGATGCTCACTCACTCTTATAACTTCAATTCAGTAGTGTTACCACTGCTAGAATAATCAGGTCTAACCATGTCATTCCTCTTCTGAAAAACCTTTAGCGACTCCCTAAGGGCTACTACATAAAGTCCAAACTCCTTAAACTAGCATTCAAATCCTGCCTACTCTGACTCCAACCTACTTTTCCACCCTTTTCTCATACTAATTCTCCTTCCTATACTCTGTAGTCCATCCAAATTTCTTGAATTTACTCCTACAGTTTTCTGCCTTATTACACTTTTGCTTATGGCATTCCTTTGACCTGAAATGTCCTTTCCCAGCTTCTCTGCCAGTTGACATCCACAGAGGCTGAAGCCACCTCCTCCATGAAGCCTTCCCTTATCTTTCCTTCTCAGGCTGATAGGTAATCTCTTCCTCCTCTGAACCCTCATAGCACTTTGTATTTCTCTCCCACTTATCACACTCAACCTTGATTCCAGTTGGGTTTTTTTTTTGCTGTTGTTGTTTTTTCGTTTGCTTTTTCATGAGGCGGTTGGGGTTAAGTGACTTGCCCAGGGTCACACAGCTAGTAAATGTTAAGTGTCTGAGGCCAGATTTGAACTCAGGTTTTCCTGACTCCAAGGCCAGAGCTCTATCTACTTCGACACCTAGCTGCCCCACCAGTTGTTTATATTCAAATGACAGATGTCCCCTAACAGACTATATTTATGGTTTTATTAATCTTTATGTCCTACCACATCGGCCTCCAGCACAGTGCCTGCACTTAGTAAGTGCTTAGTAAATTTGAATGCACGTAATTGTAAATGAAAATGGGCCACAGAAATGGAGACAAAGGCTAGGATCCTAGAGATATTTTAAAGGCAGAATGGACAAGATTTGGTAATTGAAGATGGTGGGAAAAGAAGGGGAAAAAGACACCAACATTGTAAACAATTTTGACTTTTAAAATGGCAGAATCAGTAATAGTCTGAAAAGGAAGATGAAGATATTGGCTTTAGATGTATCCATCAGCCAATCAAGAAGTATTTATTAAATAGCTACTATGTATCAAACACCATTCTAAGTGCTGGGAATACAGATACAAAAAATGAAACAATTCCTACTCTGAAGATGCTTGCTTTGTATGGGGGAAATTACAACATGTACACATATGTAAGAAATCAGGTATTGGCATTCCTCCTACCCCTGCCCCCCATTCACAGTTAACATTGAGGGATGTTATCACAGGTTAATCACAGAGGTGTTAATGAGGTAACATGATGTTCACACCAGTGAGAACACTTTCTCTGATGCAATTAAAGGGAGCCTGGCCATTGGATGAGCAAGATGAGGTGATACATCAAATGAGATAATGCTTGTAAAAAAGAAATTAGCTAATAGCTGTAATAATAATAGCTAACATTTGCATAGTGCCTACTATGCGCCATGCACTGTTCTAAATTCCTTGCAAAAACATTTCATTTGATCTTAACAACCAGTCTGGGAGGTAGGTGCTATTTATTATCCCCATTTTAAAGTTGAGGAAACTGAGGCAAATGGATGTTAACTTGCCCAGGGTCACACAACTAGGGCAGATGGGAACTCAGGTCTTTTTGATTCCAGGGCTTCCTGGTTTAGCACAGCCTATATACATGCTTATCCCCTCCCCCCTTCCCCTATACAAGTATGTATTGGATAAAAACAATATAAATACAAGGTCGTTAAATATAAAGTAGTCAAAAAGGAAGGGCCCTTGCAATTGGGAAGGTCAGAAAAGGCTTTCTGTGGTACCTGAGCCAAGAGAATTCTGTGTAGATTCAGAATATCAGAACTGGTAGGGACCTCAGTGACAATTTGCCTAGTCTATTTTACAGAAAAGACCACTGAAGTGCAGAGAAAGGAAGCAACTTTATCATATATATCTAGTTAGAGCCTCCAAAAGCCCAGGTTTCCAAATTTCCATTCAGATGTGTACACTACCTCCCTTTGAGTTTTTAGTAAAGATGAAACAACCTAAGGGAGTCTGTGGGATAGGGGAAGTATGGGTCTCACATGTGTGAGGTAAGGACCAGAGGTGCAGATATGGGTGTGGGAAACATGCGCATAGTAGGTGCTTAATAAATGTTGGTTGATTGATGCACGCATAAGTGGTAACTGATGCCATATGAGAGGAGCCGGTTAGGAAGGGGTTCAAAAAACATGAAACGGTTTCAGGGAGGTCGTAGTTCCTGCATTTACCAGGAGGGGGCGCTGCGGTCATGTGGTGGAAGTGTATGTGTGTGCCTAGTGTGGTGACCCTTCCAAACCACAGTAACTTTTTCCATTAAACCCACTCCCTTCCCTTCGCAGTATCCGTACCCCGCCCTTCCACTTTAGGGCTAGTTAATTTGCATATCAGCACCCAATACCTTAGAGTTGGCTGATTCGCATATGGTGGAGTAGGCCCCATAGAAGCCTCCACCCCCACCCCAATCCCATTGGATGCCATTTTCCAGCAGAAGAGGCTGGCCCTGACACTTTCAGCGCTCCCGCTCTACCCGGCGAGAGCATGTGCTAAATAAATGCAGCTTGACTGATTCATGCCTCACACTTGTGTTTCTCCCCCTCCTCCCGCCTCCCCACTACCTAGAATGACTCATTAAGCATGAACCAAGGTGCCTATGGGCGCTACCAAAACAGGCCACCTCCTGATGTCTGCGGCCCAGTTGCTTTAAGGTTTGGCCGCTAGAGATCACAGGATCATAGATTTAGAGCAAGGAATCCGCAGAGGAGGAAGAGATAGGCTGGGGGCGGGGAGGGACTGTCTTTCAGTCTGTTCTTTCCTTTCGGCCTTTCACTTTTTCATCCTCTCTCCCTTCCGTTTCTATTCTCCCAGTTGTTAGAGAAGATCCGGAAAGAGTTGGGGGGGAGGGCTCAAAGAAAGCAGCTGCGTGTCCTCTCCTCTCCCACCCTGCCTGGGGTGGGGTGGGGGGGTCTGCATTAGTGATCGGGCCTCCTTTCCCAAAACCTAGGCGGAAGGTTTCGAACGGATCTGGATACAGTTTACCCCTCCGGAATTGAACAGCCGGAGCCCGCCTGGTACCTCCCGCAGTTCTGGGGAGTAGGGGCTGCTTTACTGTAAGCGGTGGAGAAGAGGCGTCCGATTAGGGCGGGTAGGGAAGTGGAGCAGGGCGGGATCTCCAGGGGGGAGGAGAAGAGAACAAAGAGACTGGGAGAGTGGAGGGAGCTGGGACTGGTGTGGCTGGGACCCAGGCGTTCCAGGACTCTGGGTCTCTTGTAGAGCTTCTTCTTTTTCTTCTTCTACTCCCTCCCTCCTCCCTCCCATCTACCCACTCCCAGTCCCACGCGGGCATCTCAGATTCCTGAGTCCACTTTTCCTGTTTCTCTGAGTAAGCCTCAGTCGACCCGCCTTTCTCTTGGTCCTTGATTTGTGCCTCTGCCTCTATGTGTCTTTGCTCCCCCTCCCTTTTTTCTCTTTACAACTTTCTCCCTTCGGCTCTCTTTCTGTAGAAGACACTCCTCACCGGACACAGACATCCCTCTCCATGGCAGGTAAGGGTATGTTCTATGGAGGTAATTAGGGATTCCTAGGGTAGGGTGGTTACTGGGCAGGGATGGGAGGGATCTTGTCTCTGAGAGATAAGTGAAGGTGGGCTGACCTCCATAAGGCCTCCTGTTAGCCTTCCTTCTCCATCTCTTAACTTTTAGGCTTGGAAGCTGGTGAAGGAGGGAGTGGGATGTCAAGGGAGGCATCTCCTGGGAATGTAGTTAAACTTGCTAGGAAGGGGCCCCTCCCTGCTATGCTCTCATGTTGTCTTTGCTCTACCTCCTTCATCTTTTTCTCCAGGTGTTTTTTTTTCATTTCTTCCTTCCTCTATGTGTTTCCCCTTAGTTTGCTGGGGAGTTTAAGGAAAGTAAGGAAGCCAGTCTACTTCTCACTTCTTCCCTCTTCCATATCACCTTCCTACAGGTTACATACCCCCCAAAGGCTATGCCCCATCACCCCCATACCCAGTGACCCAGTCTGCCTCATATTCCAATCCTGCTCCTGGTCCAGGCCACATTGTCAACCTCTTCCCTTCCCCTGGTCCTGTGGCCCCCCTGGAACCAGAACCAGTTACTGTTCCCTTTCTGCAATTGCCTGGCGTCCCTTCCGGCCTGGAATTCCTTGTACAGGTGAGTTAGAAGTATAAGGGAGGAAGGCTCTGGGATCTGGACCCAAAGTCATTTTCACACACACATTATTTCATTTAATCCTTACAACATGGTGTTAGGTAGGTTAAGTCAAACTATTATGCCCATTTTATGGCTGAGGAAATGGAGAATTTGGGTGGAAAGGATGTAATGGGAATACAAAATTAATTTTATATATGTATTTTATATATAGTCCTTGGTTTCAGGGAGGTTATAGTCTGATAAAAGAGATAAGACTATATTTATGAATAACTTTAATATATGATGTAATGTAATTGACATAAGAGAGATATAAAATGCTAGAGGATAAAAAGGAGAAAAACTTACTTTCGAGAGGTGATTGTGGTACTAGTGAACCAGGAAAGACTTCTGGGAAGAAGAGGCTAGAGTCTTGAAGGATGGATAGGATTTGGACAGGTCGAAGAAGGGAAACTAAGAAATTAGGGGTTTAAGCAAAAAGTGCATGAAAGGGAAAGTAGTAGGAAATAAAACTGGAAATTCAGGCTTTCTTTCTAGCTTCATGGGGTAGCAGAGAAGTGTGTTTGTATGTGTCTCTCTTCCTAGATCGATCAGATCCTGATTCATCAGAAGATTGAGCGGGTGAAAGGTAAGTGGGGTATAATTATGTCAGATATGGAAAATTGATAGATTGGAGAATGGTTGAGGTAGGAGCTGGGAGAGGAAATCTTATGATTGGAAATTGGTAGAATTAAAATGGGGAGAGACTGGACCGTCTTTCTCTAAATCATTATATCATCTCCCCCCAGTTCAACTATCATCGTTAGGCCAGTTACTCCTAGATTTATATATCTAGCCCTACACTCCTTCCTTAGTTATATTCTTTCCTAATAGACAATTGGACATTTCCTTAAAATTTTTTTCATTGATATCTTTTGTTTTTATATTGCCTTCATTCTGCAACATTTTCTTCTCATTTCCCCTACTCAGAGATCAATTCCTTATAACAAAGAATAAAAAAGAAAGGGAAAAAGTGGCAGTTCAGCAAAACTAAGCCACATAGCAACCAAGTCCAACACTGTAGGCATCATTCCACACCTATAACTCCCCACTTCCAAAAAGACAGGGAATTGCAATATATCATATATAATTATAATTACACAATATTCAGTTTCAGTTTCAGTTCAGTTTGTTTTGTCCACTTGCGTTATTGAAGTCACGTGTATTGTTTTCCTGGTTTTGCTTACCTCACTGTGTGTGTGTATTGATCTCAGTCTTGACACGATTCTCTATCTTCACGTTCATCATTTCTTATATCAGAGTGAGATTCCATATTCCTATACCCCATATGGCACATTGCCAATTGGATATCCCATGGGCATCTTAAAAGTCAGCAATTCTCAAACATTATCTCTCCTCTCCCCTCCTCCCCCCACCTCCACTCTTCCTGATATCTTTATTTTATTGAAGGTACCACTGTCCTTGTAGACAAAGTCTCATAAGTGTCCTCTTCTCTCTTACTCTCTATATACAAGCAATTGCCAAATCTTGTTTGTTATACCTCTACCATGCCTCTCCCATTTGTCTCCTCTCCACTCACTGAGCCTTTACCCCAGTACAGGCTCTTGTCACATCTGTCCTTCACTACCACAAGAATTCTCCCAATTGGTCTCTTTGCATCCAGCTTCTCTGCACTCCAATCAACAATTCTGCCAAAGATTTGACCTTGGAATAACAATTCTCCTGTTCAGGAAGTCCCAGTAGCTCCCAATTACCCCTAGGATAACTCTGTTTGTCATTTAAAACCCCTCACACTCTGACTGGTTCTGTCTTTCCTGGGTTATTTCACCTTACTCCCCTTCAGAAACTGTGTTCCAACTAAATTGGCCTACTGTCTGTTCCCTTACAGACAACATTATACCTTTGGTATCCCTGCCTCTTTGTAGGCTTTCTCCCATGCCTAAAATTCCCCCGTACTCAACCTCTAGCTTGTAGAATCTCTAAAATTCCTTCCAGACTGAGCTCAACCTTGTACATGAGGCCTGTCTTGATTTGCCAATTTCTAGTGTTCTTCCCTCACCATCAGAAATTACTCTGCATATATTTGGTATCTACTTATTTCCATGTTGTTTCTTCACAGCCCTCAATAGATTGTAAGCTCCTTGAGGGCAGGAATTATTTCATTTTTGTCCTTGTGTCCTAATCAGCATAATATCTAGTACATAGCAAATGCTTAGTAAATGCTTATTGAATGAGTGAATGAATGAATGAATGAATGAATGAATGGAAGTGGGGCTCAGAAATTCAGTACTAATGTCCATGTATTTGCCTCTCCTTACCTCTTGCTCCTAGCATTTTTTGGCTGGGATGTCTGTAACCGATATGAGCTACATTCTGGAGCAGGGCTACCACTGGGCCAGGCAGTTGAGGAAAGCAGCTGCTGTGCCCGTCTCTGCTGTGGGGCTCGCCGGCCCATGCGTATCCGTGTGGCTGATCCCAGGAACCGTGAGGTCCTGCACTTGATCCGCCCTCTCCATTGTGGGTCCTGTTGCTGCCCCTGTTGCCTTCAGGAGGTGGGCCTGAATGTTTGAGACTTGAGGGGAGCTAGGGTTTGTGCTCAAGGTCTTAGAGGTAGAACCTAAAAGAGCGAGGGGACAAAGATTTGGAAGCTGGGAGGTGGAAGCTACAGCTAGGGATATTGAGGCTGGGGGAGCTAGATTGAGGGTCTGAGAGGCCTTGGGGATAGAGAGCCAGAACCTTGTGGTCTTCTTCTATCATGGGCCCAGGCCCATGAAGAAAACTGGGACCTGGATTGGGGACTGGACAGCTTGGAACCCTGTAGTGATTCTGTCTTCTCATGGCCTTAGCTGGAAGTACAGGCTCCCCCTGGCACAACTGTTGGGCATGTACTGCAGACCTGGCATCCCTTCCTGCCCAAGTTCTCAATTCAGGATGCAGATCGCCAGACACTGCTTCGAGTTGTGGGGCCATGCTGTGCCTGTGGTTGTGGCAGTGACACCAACTTTGAGGTAGGGATTAAGAGACAGGAATTGTGACAGTGAATTTCAGGGAACCAGTGAGAACTCTGAGATTTAATATTGCATGCCACATAAAACAGTGATGTCCCCTTCCATAAACAGAGAAGTACTCAAAAGTCTAACATACTTACCTTGATGACTTAAGATAGTCACCCCTAGAAAGCAAGATGGACACATTGGTATCTCTAATACCAACATCCAAATCCAATATGGCTGCCACTATGATCAAAGATATTTTCCTCCGTATGATGGCAGTCCCTATAGTCTAATGCAGTGGTTACTGCTGTGATGCCACATTGTGACCTTTATGCTGCAACATGCGAACACTTGTCAAAGTGGCTCCTTTCTAGTAATGATATTTTAGGGGACGTGGGAGGAAGGAGAACTTATAGTTTCTGTCTTTTTAGACAAGATCTTTATCCCATCGATACTGGTTTAGCATCCCACTGGTTGTCCAATTACTGCCAGGAAGGAAAACCAGTTTGTAACACTTAAGCTCACAAGCACTGGCATTCAATTGGTTTCGTAAGAAAGTCAATTTGGTAGTTTACAGAGGGATAGGTATCGAGGTAGTTTGCACCATAGGATTATATAGCTTTAGAGCTGGAAGTGCCCCATATAGGCCACATAGTCCAATCCCCTCATTTTACAGGTAAGGCAAATGAGGTTCATAGAAGTTAAGTGATTAACCTTTTTACATTTCATAAATTTAATGTTAAGTATTAATCTAAAAAATTTTTAATTAAAAAAAGGTAACTTACTCATAGAATCACAAGATTTGGAAGCGAATTTAGGCTTGTATCTAGTTGACTCCCTTCACTTTAAGATTAAGAAACTGATACCAGAGTATCAGTAACTAATTACTTAGTTAATCAGTAACTAATTACTCTACATAACTGGTGCAAGATTACATAGGTAGTGTGTAGCAAGATGGATTCAAGCTCAGATTCTGGGGGTACAAAGCTGTGAAACAGCTGCTCTTAGGGAGCTTACAATTTAATAGTGGGATATAGTGTGTACAGAGTAGAATGTTATGGAAGCAGATATCTGGATAAAGTGTTTTAGAAAATGTTTAAGGAGGAAAAGAAAAGGGACAGAGTGGGGCTTGGGATGGCAAAGGCTGTAGTCAAGCTGAATGTGACCATGTTCACCATATCCCTAAACAGAAGAATTCTCTGGGACCCTTAGAATCAGCTCAAAAGCAGTAGCTTTGGTAAATAAAAGAGCTTTGCAACTCTATAATTGTGCTGTAAATGAAGGGAATTAATTGCTCCAAAGAAGTATGAAAATGTTTGAGAGAGGCTGAGATCAACTCCATAAGGTTGAGATTCTCCATAGAACCCTCGTTTTCTTCAGTAATCTGTTGTGAACTTGCTAGGGGACAAGAGGGGGTAGATTCCTCATACAGCAACTAGTCTCCCTCAAACCTCATGGCTCATCAGTTCCCTCCTCCTGGTCATCAGGTGAAGACTAAGGATGAATCACGGAGTGTGGGTCGGATCAGTAAACAGTGGGGAGGCATTGTGCCAGAGGCCCTCACTGATGCAGACCAGTTTGGCCTCCAGTTCCCCCTGGACCTTGATGTTCGATTGAAGGCTGTGCTGCTGGGGGCAGCCTTTCTCATTGTGAGTGTTCATATCCCATGCTCCCTCTTTCTCCTCCTTTGTCTGGGTGTCTTGTTCATCTCAAGGGTGTGGGATTAAGGGTGGATTATGTGAGAAAACAGATGGGCAAATGAAGAAGGACAGTTCTTTGGGAGAACATGGATGGGGATTAAAGGATCATACTGTGTCAGAATCCCTCTTATTGGGTCCCTATTGGCTCCTCCCCGCCCAGGATTACGTGTTTTTTGAGAAGCCAGGAGATGCCAATCCGGGGCCCTCAGTCGTCACCAGTTAGAGGCTGTCCATGTAATCAAAGATAGGTATCCTGGCCACAGAATTCCAAGACGTCTACCACCACCCTGGCCTGGCCCCAGGATCAAAGATGGCCACTGCCACCCTCCAAGATGATGGTGCCTTGAGGAGACAGATCTAGGAGTGGAGGCTAGGGCACGGGTACCCCAAAGAGACTTTGAAAACCTTCATTTTGAAGACTGAGGCTCTATTCCCTACAAGGAGTAAATACGAGAAGAAATGCTGCGTGTGCTGAATGCTAAGGGTTTTTGTTTTAGGCCCCTTCCTCTTTTGGATCCTTCAACGTGACCCCTAACTCCCAGTGATGGCCATCACTACTTCTCATTGATGTCTTGCTCCATAAAGATTATACCATACCATTCTCACTCCGCTTTCCCTGGTAGCCCTCTCCATCCTTCTCTATCCCCTGTTCTATATTTATCCCCAGGCACTAGCCATCTTCCCCTTCCCCTTATTTACATTTTTCTACCTCCTCTGCTCCCGATCTGACTCCATCCTATCTTCCAGCATCATACTATCAAAAGGAAAAATAGATGTAGTGGCTGAGGGATTTTATTATATCAGTAGCACCCCCCACCAAAAAAAAATGCTAGAATCGTAGACCTTTTTAAGTCTTCCTTTTACAAATGAGGAAGCTGAGGTTAAGTAAAAGTAAATTGACCAAAGTCACATAGTGAATTAGTACTGGGGGCAGGGCTCAATCCCAAGTCTTCTGGCTGTTAGGCCAGTGATTTTTTCCCTCTCATTTTACAACATACGTTTTCTTCCTTGGCCAACATAAACCCAATCCCCCTGGAACCCTTCTTGGACCCATGGCACTTTGAGAGGAGACCAGATAATCCTCCTTACATACCCCCTTTTGGGCTGAGGCCCCAGTATCCAACTATCATGTCCTCCAACACCATTTCTCCTGCCCTATCCCAAGCTGGTGCTTATTGCAGCTTTTCTTATGCCTTATTTAACATTTTTCCTCCTCCCTCTTCCTGGGCATCAGGGAGGATAATGTATCTTTGTATGGTGTGTATATATATTCTATGTACATACACACAAATATATATACATATATATAATATTAAAAACTTTCTAACTTTTTGGACACTGGGAAGTTAATATGTGGGATTGGAGATGGGGCTTGGTATGGAAACAAAGGAAAATTGAAGACAAGCCCTTGTCTTAAATTGGTCATGTTTAAAATCCAAGTTGGTCTGTATTCTGCCAAGGTCAGAGAGGACTGCTTCCCGACATCATCTTTAGCCAAGACAACTATGACTATGTTTACCCCAAGTCTCAAGAGAACTTCTTCCATTATCCAAGGTTAGAGGACTGCCCACATAATACAAGGTGTTCACAACTACCCCTTTTGGCCTCTACCTATAAGCCAACATCCAGCTGAAGATGGCAGTACCAAGAGCTTCTTGGATTGAATGATGTCTAGTATTCCACGTATTTCAGTCTATGTTCTGCAGTGGAGCAAGGGAGATGAGGCCCCTGTGGGTGCAGTGAGGTGCTGTAGTCAAGGTCCTGCTTCCTGGGTGGGGGTGTCAAAAACAAAGTCAAGCCAAATGAATGTGGGTCTGCCTTAGTCTTAAAATTTAGAGCAAGAAGAAGCCTTTGAGCTTATATTGTTTCACAAATGAGGAGATGGAGATCTAGAGAAGTGATGGGACTTATCAAAAACCAAACAGTAAACAGCAAATCTGGGATTTGAACCCAAGTCTTCTGATTCCCAATCTTGTGCCCTTTCTATTACCGAACATCTTACCCTTTTCATTCCTAGGTAGATTCTAGGGTGCTAAGCCTACTTCCTTAGGTAGCAGAGTCTACCCTGGATTGCAGCGATAGAGGAAAGAAAAGGAGCCCAGTATCCTTAATATTGTTAGTTCTAAGTGAAGCTCCACTCCCTTCCCATGGGGTGATTTCTGGTACTTCATACTTCATCAAAGCTAGAAAATAAAGGCAAAACAATGACATCAGTCCAGCTGAAGTTCATGCCATACCCTATAAAGAATGGAGGTGGTCATCTTGTCATCTCTTTGAAGTGAGATGGTGACCTTTTGCCACCAAGTCAAAGCCTGTTCGTGATCTAGTGGCTGGTGGTACAGAGGTTCCATTGATAGCATTCCATGACCTGCCAGCACTCGTTCTAAGAGCAGCTATTCAGGTGAAAGAGCATTTAAACCTACAAAGGACTTCAGAGTTGGAGGGGTGGCTAGCTGAGTACCTCAGAAGAGTGTGTGGCAGGAAAGAGAATCAGGTATGCCTCAGGGACCTTCAATTTCAGAGCAAGAGATGTCAGAGAGAAAGAGCAAAACTTAAGTGAGTAGGGACAATGGAGACTTGAAGATTTCCCCTGGTTTTCTGAGAAGATGGGAGGATAATGGAAGACTGAAGGCTCAGGTACTTGGAGGTATAGGAGCTGGTAGAGGCTGGCATCTATCTTTGAAGTTCTAGAGAACAGAGGTCATATCACCTGTCACTCTGTGATTACACAAGCTACAATGGTACAGGCAGTGAAAACATTGAATTCTTCTCCCCTAGCAGACTCAGGTGCTGTATGTCATCCTCTTCGCCCACCCATGGTCATGCCATCACTTCTTTAACCTCTGGAGCCCTGGATCAGGTCAGAGGCTCATATGGGCCACAAGTACTTGTCTGGCTTCCCTGTGCCTCCCACAGGTTAACAGATATAAAGTATTTTGGGGAGCCCAGGCAAAGTGTGTACTGAAGCTAGCTCTTACTAGCTCAAGAGTCACTTGTTAATTTTTCAGTGTGAGTTTGACACCTTAGAAATCAGGAGATGCTATAAACCAGGGTTTGATTCATTGTTTGTTGATTTGCTATATTTTAGAAAGTGATACAGAAAAAGTTAATGACGCAGATTAAATTTAAATGTGTCACGCATACATTCTTTGGAGAGTCAGTTGTTAAACATTTACTAGCACACCTCTGGGCCAGAGTCTCTCTCGGGGTTTGGCTAGGAGTTTAGAGGAGAAGGATCAGAGAGGTAGGAAGGAAAGCATCAATACTAATACAATGATAATAATTAGCATTTATGTATCAGTATAAGGTTGGCAAAGCCCTTTACATATGTAAAGAATCATTGGATTCTCACAACAACCCTATGAGGTAGGTGCTATTATTATCTCCATTTTACAGAAGAGGAAACTGAGACAACAAAGATCATATGACTTGTCCAGGGTCACACAACTAGTAAGTGTTTGAGGCAGGATTTGAACCCAGGCCTCTTCCATTGTACCACCCAGCTGCAGTAATGTATAGCAATGGAATGTTGGATTCCTGAAGGGCTGGAGCCATTTCCTGAGGACTGAGTACCCAGAGAGAGGGCTGACTCAGATTCTTGGAGAGTTCTGGAAAGGAGAATAGAGAACTTAGCATGACCCAGATGCCTGGTTTCCTCAGACCTTTTAAAGACTCCAGGAGCTCTACCAAACCATCCTCAGATCCTTCTCCCCTTTGACTTCCCAGGATTCTAGGCTCCCAGCATCTACAACCTCACCTTTTACTTTTAGTTGGTGCCCTTTTCTTCCTTGGGCTTACGCTGAGTCCTAAAGCCTTTCTTTGCATCTTATCAGGAGTGGAGTCTGAGGGTATGATGGGGGGGGGTTGCAGAAAGTAGAAAATGGGGATTTGCAAAAAGAAGAGAGAAGTAGAGAGGGAATGGGTGATGGGAAAGAAGGAGAATGGAAGGAGAAGAGTAGAGTGAGAAGACAATAGAAAGGAAGTGGGGAGGATTTTTTCAGGAACTGGGACTGACCTCTTGGAGGATGTCCTCCAGGCATAGGAAGCTTGGTCAGTCAACAAGATAGGGAGTACAGTATCTAAGGCAATGGCATGGTTGTCATGGGAACAGAGGGGAGGCTGAAAGAGCTGTATACCATCATGACCCAGGCCCTGAAAAATCAGATAGGTCAGGACCCTAACCTAAGGTTCTTCATCTCCAGAGATCACTTTCCACACCTTTTTAAACATCCATACATACAAGGCCAGAGGAGAAGGTTCCCAGACACTATGATATCTGGTGGGAGGCAAGGGGTAGAGTGACACTAAAACCCATTCATTGCTCCACAAACCCCTTAATTTAACTTATCCCTTCCCTACTCCAATACTTCCTTGAAATAATTCACTACAAGGCCCTCTCCTGTTTCCCCGGTTTCTGATCTCTCTCCCTCTCATCACCATCCATAGGGGAATCCCATGATGATTCCCAACATGATGTAGCACTCTTGATTGTGGCCCAGTGCCTGCATCAGTCCAAAGTCAGCCACCCTAATGGTTGTAGGTGGAGAACGGGAACAAGTTTTGGGGTCATGATATGCTGGCTTCCAGCCCTGATGAAGACTGTGGCCCTGCCTCTTGGGACAGGAACAGAAAGAAGAGACATAGAAATGGTGGTGGTGGGAGCTGAGGGAACCTGCCAAGAGTACAGGTAGCCCAGTGGAGTCAATTTCATCCTCCGCAAGAGACAAGGGAAATGAGAAACCTTCATACTGCCATCCTTCCTTTCTTTCTTCCCTGGAAATCCTTCCTAGCTCTAATTTCCTGCACTCCTGCTACAGCATTTCAAGAAGCATTTCATTCTCTTCCTGACAAACCATCCTTTAGAGTCCCAGGGAGCAGGGGGAGTATCAGAAACCTGCCTTACCATCTGGAGAAGGAAACCTAACATGGGGCCACAAAATTTAAGCACATGAAATATCATTAAATGTGACCAAGGAATGGGCCATTAGGACTTCCTGAGCTATCCTGAAAAGACTTCACTGGCATTGGGACATAGGCAAAGGGTAGATAGTAGAAAATATAGACAGTAGATTTCAGGGCTGTAGGAGAAGACCCTAGAGGGGGTGGACTGAAGGAAGGCAACTGGGAGGTTAGGAATGAACAAAACGTTATTAGTTCTGCAAGGTGCCAAGAACTCCATTTAGAGCTCCAAGGACTAAAATTTTATCTAACTAGATCCTCCCATTTTACACCTGAAGTAACTAAAGCCCAGAGAGAGGAAATGACTTGCTGAAAGTCACATTGGTGAAGTTTGAACCAAGATTATTGGAGACCAAATCTAGCACCTTCCTAGGTAGATAGAAGAACTTGAAAAAGAGTCCAGTGAGGATAGAGGAGATCAGAAAGAGCTGGAGGGGAGAGTGACTGGAAATTCTCCCTCCCCCCCCCACCTTTAGGGTCCAGAACTCCTGGTGAACAATACCAAAATAGTCTCCCCCTCCCCCACTACACAACTCTCTGGAATCAGGTACTTCATGGATCCCTCTTACTCTGGGATCCAAGAAGGAATATTGTGGGGAGGGGGGTGAGTAGATTTTTTTTGGCTCAGAGGTCCAGCCCTCTAAGACATGAAAACAATTTGAAGAAGTTCAAAGGAAAATCATGGAAACACTTACTGGGATAACCCCCTCCTACTGCATTAATTCCCTCTACCTCTGATCTCCTGCTTCACTCTCTGAAACACTGCATCTCCCCACCTTGGAGACCCAGTTCTTAGGTTTGAACATTGACCAATGTCTCTTTAGGGTTTCATTCAACATTGTTGGGCAAGAGGAGAAAGGGATAGTCAGGAGAGTTCAGGATTTGAGGGGTGAGGGAGTTGGAGGGTGGAAATACAAGATCACACAATTTAGAGCTAGGAGGGACCTTAGAAACCATCTAATGGAATTCTTTTATGGAAACTGAGGCTGAGAGAGATTATTCGACTTGCCTAAGGTCAACTAGTAGTTAAATGGGAGAGTAAAATTCAAACCTTGGCTCATTGCTTCCAAGTCTAATGCTCTTTCCCACTGATGGAATATTAAGGAAAT